TAGTTCCTGATTTATAGGTGGTCAGAACTACAGGTAACAACCTACTGCTTGTGATTGGCATGTGAAGGAGGAGCAGTCTTGTGGAACTGAGCCCTTAACCTATGGGATCTGATGCTATCTCCAGATAGATAGTGTCAGAATTGAATTGAATCAGAGGACCTCCAGCTGGTGTCTGCTGGAGAACTGTTTGGTGTATGGGGAAATACCCCCACACACCTGCTGTCAGAAGCGTTCTGTTGAGTGATGTGTGAGTAGAAGGAAAAAACAGGGTTTTTCACCCTCTTACACCTGTACATCTAATAAAACTTGTATAGAACTTGGATGCTGAAAACCATAAAATGGTAATGAAAGAAATCAAAGATCTAAATAAATGGAGAGGCATATTGTGTTCATGATTTTGAAAACTCAACACGGTAAAGATGTCAAATTCTGCCCAAGCTGATACAGGCTTAATGCAATTCTTAATAAAATCCCTGTCTTTTGTAGATATAGATAAGATTATTCTAAAATTTATATGTAAATGCAAAGGAACTAGAATAGCTAAAACAATTTTGAAAAAGAATAAAATGAGATAAATCAATCTGCCTGATTTTAGGACTGATTATATGTCTACAGCCATCAAGACTGTGTGGTGTTGGTGAAGGGACAGACACAGAGAACAACGGGAAGAACAGAGAACCCAGAAATACTCTGCATTAGAGCTCAGTTGACTTTTGACAAAGGTACAGAAGTAATTCAGTAGAGGAAGGATAGCATTTCAACAAACGGTGCTGGAGCAATCGGACAGTTATAGACAAAAATAAAAATAAATAAATAATAATGAACCTCAACTTAAATCTCATACCTTATACAAAAATAACTCAAAATGGATGATGGACTTAAATGTAAAATGTAAAACTATAAAACTTGGAAAAAACATGGGAGAGTATCTTCAGGATCTGGGGCTAGGCAAAGAACCCTTAAATATGACATGACATGACATAACACCATAAAAGAAGAAAATTGATAATTGGACCTTAACAAAATTAAAACGTTTTGCTCTGCAAAACACTGTTAAGGTGATGAACAGACAATATACGGAGTGGGAGAAAATACTTGGAAACCACGTATTCTACAAAGGATTAATTGGACCTTAACAAAATTAAAACGTTTTGCTCTGCAAAACACTGTTAAGGTGATGAACAGATAATATACGGAGTGGGAGAAAATACTTGGAAACCACGTATTCTACAAAGGATTTTTATCTAGAATATACAAGGAACTCTCTGAGCTCAATATTAAAATAACAAATGAACAAATTAGAAAATGGGCAAAAGACGTGAATAGACATTTCACTGAAAAGGATATATAAATAGCAAATAAGCACATGAAAAAATATTAAACAGAACTACCCATGAGGAAAATGCAAATTGAGACCGCAATGAGAGATCACTACACACCTCTTAGTACAGACAAAATAAAAAACAGTGACACCACAAAATGCTGGAGAGGATGTGGAGAAAGCACATCTCTCATGCACTGCCTGTGGGAATGTAAAGTGGTAAAGCCACTGTGGAAATCAGTTTGGCAGTTTCTTCAAAAATTAACATATACTTGCTATAAGACCTAGCAATTATACTCCTGGGCATTTGTCCCAGGAAGCGTAAAACTTACGTTCATATGAAAACCTGTACACAACTGCTCATAGCAGCTTTACTTGTAATAGCCTCAAATTGGAAACAGCTGCAGTGTCCCTTGACAGGTAAATGATTAAACAATTTGTAGTACTTCATACCATGGAATACTACACAGCAATAAAAAGGAGCAAACTATTGATATACACAACAACATGGGCGGACCTCAAGGGCATGACGCTAAGTAAAAAAAAAAGCCAATTAAAAAAGATCACATACTGTAGAATTCCATCTATACAACATCCTCCAAATGAAAAAATTATAGAGATGGAGAACAGGTTAGTGGTTGCCAGGGGGTAGAGATGGCGAGTGGGAGTGGGGTGGGAGTGACTATAAAGGGGTGGAACAAGGGAGATCTTTGTGGTGATGGTTAGTTCTGCACCTTGATTGTGGTGCTGGTTACATAAATCTACACATGTGATACAACACAGAATTATACAGACACATTGTACCAGTGTCACCTTCCTGGTTTTGCTATTGTACTATAGTTATATAAGATGCAACTATGGCAGAAACTGGACAGAGAGTGTGCAGGACCTTTGGACTCTGTACTGTCTTTGTGACTTTCTGTGGATCTATAATTATTTCAAAATAAAGTTGTTTTTTTTTTTAATGTTACTAAATGTTAGAATACAAGCTACCTGAGATCAGGGATCCTACCTTTCTTTTTGCATTGTCTCCTTAGCACGTAAACAGTGCCTGGCCCACAGCAGGTGTTAATACACGGTAACTGGATGAGTACATATGTATTATAGTTCCACTTGTGGTTTCTGTTCTTAAAGGCACATGATTATAAATGGCAAATGTCTGGACCCATAAACACTACATGGTGAATAGTGGTTATTTCCAGGAATGGGGCAGAGATAGGGAGAGATAAAGTTGGGAGGTGGTGAGTGAAGTGAGACCTTACAGACAATGCAGGAATATGCAGAATAAGACTATGTTTTCCAGTCACTTATGCCCCCATCATTTCAAAAGAGGATCTTCCTTACCTTAATGATTTTCAAAAACTGTAACACAGTCATCCTTCAGTATCCATGTGGGACTGGTTCCAGGACCTCTCTCAGACACCAAAATCTGCAGATGCTCAAGTCCCTGATATAAAATGGTGTAGTATTTTAATATAATCTGTGCATATCTTCCCGTATACTTTAAATCATCTCTAGATTACTTGTAATACCTAACACAATGTAAATGCTATGTAAATAGTTGTTATACTGTATTGTTTATGGAATGACAAGAACAAAGTCTATACATATTCTGTACAGATGCAAATTTTTTCCCAATATTTTTGATCTGCAGTTGGTTGAATCCATAGATACAGAACCCATGGATATGGGAAGGGGAGCCGATTGCACATGCTTATCCTAAAAAAAGTAAGTATATACACATATAAGGGAATACCCAGTGTCTTCATTGTATTGTCCTAATCGATGGTAAGTGGCGGAGCCTTTGGTGCTGCAGTTGGTTGAATCCATAGATACAGAACCCATGGATATGGGAAGGGGAGCCGATTGCACGTGCTTATCCTAAAAAAAGTAAGTATATACACATATAAGGGAATACCCAGTGTCTTCATTGTATTGTCCTAATCGATGGTAAGTGGCGGAGCCTTTGGTGTAAACAGATGACAGTGAGTGAGTTACAACAGTAACTAGACCATGGTGCACCACAGTCCTTTCCAGCTGTAGGATTTTCCTGCTTCTAGATTGTCTCTGAGAAAACAGTAAATGGTTTTCTCAGGGTGGAGAAAACATGTTACACATAAAACAAGTCCGGGTAACTTTAAAGTAAATTTAAAAATTAAAACAGATACTACATTATATAAAAAACATCTACCTATTTGAGAATCCCTCTCTCTTCCCAACTCCCCTTGCTTTTCTGTAAGACACAGAGAGCAAGACATTTTTAAAACACTCTCTTGAATGACGGTGGTTCAACCAATTAATTGCCTTCTGCAGGCCATAACGTAAATTCTTCTTGCCTCTAGGGAAACAGTCCTAAAAAGTTATCAGTTATGTTATTAATTTCTCTTTTAACCTCTATTCTTCTGCTAGATCATGTCTTGAATGTGCCTCTTTTAGGGCAGACTTGTATCCATCCATGTACAAAAAGGCCACAGCAGAGAGTGAAACCTTAATTAATGACATTTTAAATTTACGTTATATCACACAGTGCATTAGGCTTTTCAGGGTGCATTCACCTACATCTCTTTGAAACCACATAATAGCCCTATGAGGTAGACAAAAGAGAAACAATCTCAAGAAAGGAAATAGTATACCTAACATTTCACTTTGAGACGGTGGATGAGTCAGAAACTGAACCAGAGATTTCAGCCTCCCATCACACCATGCTTATATGATGTTCTAGAAGAAACACTGGTGGGGAAATAAACATGTTATTTGTTACAGTCTTATACAAAAGGAGTGACTAAATGGCAAAGATGGTGAAAATTTGGAGACCCCTACATTCTTGTGTAAGGACCTAACTTACTTCCTAAAGATACACTGGTGGGAGAATTCTAGAATAATCTTTTAAAAGCAAAGCTAAAACACATCCTTGCTTTTAGGAAAAAACCTGGTGACATACAACAAAATAACTATAATGGACTTGTGAAGTCTTTGTTACCACTGTTAAAAGACAGCAGATTTACTAAGTCAGACAGAGACTATAAGCTCACGTACTGCTTAACGCTTTAAACCACCTTCTTGGTGAGAAACATAACTATTAAAGGTTGTGCCTCAACAGCTGTGGAGGGAAAACGAAGCTGCAAAATGGAATGTGTCAAAAATAAAATACAAAGCAATGGGAAAAGTAGGGAAAATAGTGACCTGGAGTGCCTGCTAAATAAAAGGGGACTAAGATGCAGGCAGGTATTCTTCTGAATGAATTCTTCCCCAGTGCTGCCTTGGGAGGGCCTTTGAGATCAGCGGTTCTCATATGTGGCTGCACAATAAATTCATGTGGGCTGCTTGACAAAGTATTGATGCCTATGTCCCTCCCTGAGAGATTCAGTTTACTTAGTCTAGGGTGAGCCTGGAAGAAGGTTTCCAAAAGCCTGCTAACACAGGTCATTCTAAGAGGCAGCAAGGACCGAGCCCCCCCCCACACCCACTGCCAAGCACTAGAAATGACAGGTCGGGGGTATTCTCCACGTGCTACCTCCACCCTGTGCCTAGCCCTGCAGTTACTGCAAACCTGGGGACTGCAAAGAGCTGAGAACATGGGAGCTGGAAGGTCACCCTTCCTCCGAGAAAGGGCACTCACCTTTACAGCTTAAACCCATTGTGAAGCATCTCGGGAGGCCCAGCACTCACAGCTCCTTGGGTTCGGGTGCCTCCAGTACCTCTGCACTATAAATCAGTGATCTCCAGGCCAAGTGGAAAACAGGAGGTGTCCTCTATATCTCGCAGGGGCCGGCTGTAGAGTAGAAATGTGCTAAAAGTGAGATCCTGATGGTCTCTTTTTAATTTTTAGAGGCCCCCTTTCATTTCATATTTCCAGAAAAAAATAAATGATAGTTGGCAAGGGTTAGCAATTTATCACTACCAATCTGGATTTGGGAAAGTCAGCTTCATAGTTAATCGGCCAAGAATTACATTTTCCTACACTGACCTGGCAAGAACATTTCCAACATAATGGCTTAGAAACCTTTCTTTGAGAAAAGAAGTGAGTTAGGATTAAAGGAGGAAACTGTCCCTTTCTCCCGCTACCACAGTGAGTGAATTTGGACACTTTTGGTCAAAGAAGCAAAAAACTGCACACCTCATAGACTAAAGGAGGTCCAGTTTGCTGAACAGAGCAGGAAAACAGGCAAAGACATAGGGGAAAGGCAGTAAAACCATCACAGCTATCCACAAAGGCTGTCAGGAAAAGCCATCTCTGAAGGGGGATAAACTTCAAACTTTTTAGGCCTGGACCAAGGAAGCAGGAGACGGAGGCCAGCGACAGACTCCAGCAAGAACTCTGTGGAATCACCTGTGATCAACATTGTCTGACTTAATAATCTAAGAGGGAGAAATAAGGCTTTTGATTAAGACCTTCAAACGAAAAGGCAGAAATCACCAAAGCTTTCATCTCTCGTGTGCGTTTTCACCTCTCCTCTTCTCTGGCAGTTATTAAGAGACAGACAATTAGAGAAACAGTGGCAGCCCGTGATCTTGACTGTCCCCATTCTGGCTGGAGACTTGGGAGCTGCCCTAGTGGTGGCTTCAGACCCGTGCAGCCCTCATGACTTGCTTTGCATCTAGAAGGTGATTTCTGCACTTCACCACAGTTGATTCTTCCTCTTCCAATTAAGTATTACTGCAGTCATTCTTCCCCGATGCATTATTCATTGAGCATTAATCCCCTTAAAATTGGTCTTTGCAGGGAAACTTTGCTTTCTAAAAATCAGTATGCATTTAATAAAGGCAGTTGGTCCCAGCTTTGCGGATGGGCAAACAGCCTGATAAAGGCAAAGCTGTGGCCTCCCAGCTTCTCCTCGCTTGCACTGCTGGCTGCATCTCTGCCACTCGGTGAAATACATTTTCTGCCTCTCTCGGCTAATAGACTCTCTTCAAAAATGGAAGTTAATCCTCGGGCAACACAATGTTAAACTGCTCAAGGAAGAATTAAATATTTCAGAAGAGAAGATGGTAAAAAATGGCAAGTGCTATTTTAGATTCTTTGAAAATTTAAGTAGAAGAGCGAAAAATAGAAAGCAGCTTGTACTTGGTACAGTGGATCTAAGTTCACTTTTGAGAGATTCTTAATAATGTGCAGGGAGACAATGAAAACCGTAGCCCCAGTATGAAGAGGGGACCTGGCTGCTCCAGTTAGGAGGAGCATGTGCCTGAGTTTCAGGGGCCCAGAGACTGTTTGAATCCCTTAGGTGTGGAGAGAAAATGTGATTTGGAAAATGAAAACTGACCCACTTTCGTTCTCCTCACAGTAATGTAACAGAAAGCAAAACCCTCACTCTTGGGAGGAGTGGGTACTGGAGTCTGCCACCTTGGGATGGGGGTGTCTGGCTGCCAGGGTCACCATTCCCCTGACTCTGGACCTTGCTGGCCTCTTGGTGCCTCTGCTGACTCAGGTGAAAAGCAGGAATGCATGGAGAGAGCCCACCTAGCAGGGGAGGTGTGAGGAGGGTTAAACGTGAGGCTGCTGTCTTGGTGAGTGGGGAACAATCAGTACCTGCTAGATTATGATGATACAATAACGACATGGACTTAACCTGGAGACATGGACTTAACCTGGATGGGAGGTGTGAGGAGGGTTAAACGTGAGGCTGCTGTCTTGGTGAGTGGGGAACAATCAGTACGTGCTAGATTATGATGATACAATAACGACATGGACTTAACCTGGAGACATGGACTTAACCTGGATACATTTTTACCGCAGAGGTACAAAGAGAAAGCACTCTTCCCTCTGTCGATGGAGAGCTAGGTAATTGTAAAAATGCTGCAATCATTTTTCTATCCTGTGCTTCTACAATCCAATTTATTGCCCTGTTCCTCACAGCTGCTGTCCAGGGCCCATGAACTGCAGTTAAAACATATTAGCTGGAATCAGAATAGCAGGTCCGAGAATTTATGTACTTACGGCTTGCCTTAAAGAGGCATAAGTGATGTGACTTCCATTGTTTTAATTTGCTCTGCCTTGTGTCCCTTTGCCTCAGGGTTCTCAGAAGGGACGCCAGTTCCCAGGCATGTGCTCCTGGTGGGGCTCTGCACATGTATGCATGTGGCTGCTGGGAGAGAATGGGCTGGGGCCAGTAAGCCATCTGCCAGAGAAGGAAACTTCTTGGCACCTGCTGCCCCAGTATGTGGCTGTTCTTCTACCCTGCAGGCTCCTGCCACCCAGGCAGGTGCCTGTGTAGGTCCTGAAGGTGTCTCCATCTCCTACACTGTAGAGTGTGGATTCAGAGGCTGATCTGGCCTCTGAAATCACTCGTGGTACAGGGGCAACTCCCATCGCTTTTCAAGCCTTGTGGTTTTGCAGACCAGTGCTGGGTCTCCACAATGGGGATCAACTGCGGTGAGGCAGAGTACCCAGTTGAGGAACATGGCCTCCTGAGAAGACCTGCTGGGGTTTCACTCCTCACTTTGCCACTTCTTAGCTGTGTGGCCTCAAGTGAGTCCCTTAGCCTCTCCAGGCCTCAGTTTCTCCATCTGTGAAGTGGGAATAATAAAACCTACCATGGGGGCTAAGAAGAATTAAATGAGAATGCTTTCAAAGCATGGAGTGGAGTAAGAGTCTTAGATGCCGGCTCTATTATTAGAGGATTTGGATGTCTGGTTCTTCCTAAGCTAATGTGGCATCACAGCTCCAGACCCTCAAACACTCCTGCCTAACACTCTTTAAAGTCCTAAGGAGGCCTCCATGCCTCTCCCTGCAATGCCCCCCGCCCAAGTCTCTGCCTGTCTGAGTCCTATTGCTTTATGCCAGTCTCATCTCAAATGCCGCCAACTCCCCGAGGCCTCTCCAGTTCCCTGCTGGCCAGCTGTCTCTCTTCCTCTCCCTTGGCCTTCCATTGCACCTTATAAAAGCAACTTGGGCTGCATTATGGACTGACAAGTGTCATCACTGCCAGGGTCCTTGAGGCTCTAGACACAGTGCTTGTGTCTTATATATCCCTCTATCTGGCTTTTTCACCTCACTTGTCTGTAGCTTGCACTTAGTAGGTGCATGACACACTTTGGCTGAACTGTAAACTTGCTCAACCCAACTAAATAACCCAGCCTGCAGAGATCCCCAAATCAGGGTCTGGCAGTTTTATGTATTAGGGGTCCAACTCAATCATATACAAATGCAGCAGATCCAGACCTTCCCAGACCCTGAAACAAACCACTGCTGCTGAGGCCACCAGGAACAGTGCTACAGTTGGGTACCAGGAAAGCAGCCCCTAACAATGAATCCCTCAGGGTCTGAGGTGGCCTGAGGTGGGAATGGGACTTTTCCTCGAAGGAATGTACCTAGACAAAAGTCCTGGATACAGATGTTTGTAAAACACACAGAGGAAGGCACACAATACCTAGTTCTACACTGAGACCTTGACATTGTTAGATTGCAATGTTCTAATTAAGGAGCTGTTCAAATTTGGGTTCCCTGAACTTCCAAACTCCAAAACGATTGAGGCTTTCAATGAGTATACCTGGTTAGGGTGCCAGCTGCTCCAGCTGCTTCTAATGCTAGAGAGCAGTTTTAGTAGCTTGGGTTCTGGGACTGGGTAGGCCTAGTACTGCTATTCCCAACCAAGTGCCCCTGGTCAAATGTAGTGATCCATGCATGTCCCAGACTCCTTCTCTATGAAATGGGAAAGTGACTGTACCCCCACCTCCCAGAGGGGCTCGCACGGCAATAAGCCATTGCGTGTAAGGTGCCTGGTACAGCCCCTGGCATACAGTAAGTGCTCACTAATGCTCACTGTTATTAAAATACTGCTACACTTGCTGCCCCCTCAGGCTCTCTGAAGTGAGGGCGTGATTCCACTTGGAGTAAATTAAGTCTCCATAATTTAGCACGAGCCAGAGATTATAGGTGAACTTGTTTTGCATGGTGAGTTTGAATGGGTATGAAGAACACAATCAAGAAAGAGAGAAGAAAATGACTCTGCCTTTTAAAAAATCATGTTTAAAAGGCAGTAGAACAGGGTGGAGGGTGTTGGGGCTGGAGAGAGGAGATTGGATGAGTTTTTCTACATCATAGACCTTAATTTTCAAAATAAACTGTCTCATGACTACATCCCTAGCTCTCATCACCCCAAGATTAGAACTAAATCAGGGAGATTGGATGAGTTTTTCTACATCATAGACCTTAATTTTCAAAATAAACTGTCTCATGACAATAACTACATCCCTAGCTCTCATCACCCCAAGATTAGAACTAAATCAAGGAACAAGTGAAAGGCGGGTTCCACCTTATAATGCGCCTGAGTTGAGAAGCCAGAACACTGGCTGTCCACCATCTGACTTCCTCTTGGTGAAGGAGGGAGGGCCCAAAGTGAGGGTCAGAGAAATCTCCATCCTCAAGTGCCCTGTGCTTTTCAAATCCAGTAAAAGTAGGTAACAGCCCTTTTCAGGTAATGAGAGAAATGGATGCTGGGGACCTGCCTTTTTTGAAATTTACTGGTAACAGTCACAGGGGAGGGAGGCCAGCCTTGCAGTCGGCAGTGTTAAGGAGGTGTGTAAAGGAGCTCATGAAGTATCTGCCTCCACATATGGACTCAAATCACCCCAAGAAGTTGAAGGAAACCACTTTTAGCGTGTTCAGGGGGTGAGCAGGGGGAGAAGAGTAGTGGTAAAAAAAAAAAACATCCAGCTTATGAAACAGAGAACCATTTCAAAAAGGATGCCACGGCTTTTCTTAGGTAACTTACAATGTGCATGAAAGCTTTTTGCCTCCAGCAGCAGCTGCTTTTAAGCGGCACCCAGTGT